AAAGGAGGCTGAAGATCTAAAGGTTACTATGCTAGGATTCGGCGGAGGTAAGACACCCTAATAATATCGTGATTAAGCCAAGCTCTCACACCTAAGGGAGGTGAAGAAACTCGCTGCAACCCGATCAGGTGGGATGACGCTAAACTCGGCATATAGTCTGCTGCAAAGTTGGCCTCCCTATGCATATGTTGTATCCTAATGCTCCAGTCCTGTTGAACAATACTACGAATTGCCGTGGCAAGCATTTCATGAGCCCCAAGATTGTCCTTGGTACTAAGCATTTCATGAGCCCCAAGTTGACCTGAAATGCTTGAATTTATTCCAGGCAAGCATTTCAGGTCCCAAGCCAGCAGTAAAAACCCCTGCAATATGACATTTATCTATGAAAGTATATATATCAATTGAAAATGTGATTATCTAACAGTTTGACCTAAAGTTGAACATGAGAGTCGTAGAATTTCGAAGCGTTTCAAAAATTGAACCAAAACCATTACAAAACAAAAAATAATCATTGATCGTTTGTCTTTCTCCAATGAAAAATAGTTGGTACGATTCTGGATATTTCACAAATATCGGTACCGAGGACCGAATCGAACCATTTCAAAACGAATAACCAAATTATAACATTAGATATCTTGTTCATAGATTTCATATCAACTTTAATCATGTATAATTTGAGTACGTTTAAAATACTTAATAGCATATAGTAATAACAATTAAATTTCACTTGAATTTTATACTTAAAATACTTGTTTTACAATTAGTAATTTTGAATTTTATACTTAAAATACTTGTTTTACAATTAGTAATTTTCTTTTTTGAAAAAATTATATATATTATCTTTGTTGATACTTTTCTTAGTCTTATTCCATCTTATAATTAAAATGATATGAAATTTTAAAGAAATCTTTATTTTTAAAAAAAATTATGTTGTATTTTGTTTGCATTTCAAATTTTCATCACTAGTTTTTAACCCGTGCATTTGCACGGAAAACAATATAATAGAACAAAAAATAATAAAAATATATAAACAATAGTAAAAATCATAATATAATCATTGAAAAAATGTTTTAAGAAATAATAACTAAATATTGTTAAACAATTCTTTATATACAACGTTTGTGATTTTTCTATCAACAGAATTTCCATCACCACGAATCATATCTTCAAATTAAGATATATAATGGTTTTAATTGTTTAAATAATTATTGGATTTTGTACTATAGATCATATAGGAAATTTAAAAAAAAAATACTAAAAAAATACTAGCAAAATATTACAAAATAAATATGTGCCAAATATTTAAGACATTTGAACAAAATGACAATTTTTGGGTCATAAAGAAATATATTGATTGAATGATAAAAAAAAGTCCAAATTAGAAGTCCACTTAATTTTTTAGGGTAGCCAAAATCAAATATAAAACAGGTCAATGATAACATGACTATAAATAGAGATAAACTCCTTGAGAGTGATGTAAGCCATCTTTTTTTTGTTTGATGTCGACGCTTCTCTCGTTATTCACTCTGTCTGAAACCCTAATCCTTAACCCGATATTACGACAAACTCGGTGAGATTCAATACAAAACAACTGTTTTACCGGAGATTTTCTCCCGGTAAAGGCTTAAAAAATTAAAAAAAAAAAAAACATCCGAGAAATGTTGTTTTTGTGACCAACAGTAGTGATCGAAAAATAAAATATTCGTCTCGATTTCTTAATCTGTGTTGCTAAATCTTAACAAATCGGTCAAAATCGGGCGATAATATTACAAATCTATGATGAGCTGAAATATTTTTTGTTAAACGTAGTTTTTATTTTTTATTATTTTCAATGACCTGTGTCGTTTTTCGAAATTCTTTGTGAATAAGCTTCATGATATATTATATTTTATACATAATTCGAAATTATTTAGATGTTTTTCAAAATCGTTTTTCGAAGAGAACATGACATTGGTCGAACTTTTTCAAACTTTTATGTATTTTGTTCAGGGTTTGAAAAAATATGTAAGTTTCTAACAGTTCGTTCAGCTCTACTAACAAATATATAGGTAAGTTTATAACATATATGTTCATATCTGTTTATAATATACATATGTAACTTTTATATATTTTGTTCAGATTTTGAAAACTAAATAGTTCAATTCTCTGTCGTCTTTCTCATCATATCAGTAAGTGAAGCTTTGCTAACACTTGTTCAAAATCGTTTTTCGAAGTTGTTCAAAGTCTTTTGCCGAAGTTTTTCAAATTTTTTAGTATTTTGTTCAAAATTTGGAAATATTAGGTAAGTTTATAACAAACCTGTTTAGATATATTTATCGCATATTAGGAATTTCTTGTTTAATGTTTAAAAGAATCTGTAGGAATTTTTATTTTTAAAACTTTTACGCAAAAGAATCGATTTTAATATAAAGGCAGATGTCTTGGTAAAAGTTGAATGTGTTGATAATGATAGGGAAATCAAATTATTTTTCTTTCTATATTGTATAGTGTTCAATAATGTTCCACATAATTTGCTGTGTTTTTAATTTTGATTTTTTCATATAGATTTGACTTTTTTTTGTTGATTATTAATTATGCTTGATATTTCTATATTATGCAACAATCTGCCATTACATACAATGCCTTGTCAATTCTCATTCTTTAACTTTGCCAATTTCCGTTTAATATGACTTTTCTGTTGCTGAAAATATGTTTTTTAATGCATTAAAATATTGATGTTTTGTATATGTTTTGATGTTATAATCATGCAGAAATTTGTCCCGCCACTTTTTTCTTAAAGAGAAATTGTTTAATGAAAATTAATCATATTTATATTTATAATTGTGAAATAATATTTTTTTTTCACGGCCAACAGTTATTTTTTTAATGAAAAATATGAAAAAATTTATTCAACACACTTTTTAATTTATAAAAAAGAATGTTGATTGCGATAATCAAATATGCAGAAATCATGCATTTTATTGAATAGTAGTAGTATAAAATATTTTATTATTACTACCAAATAGAAAGACAAAGATAGTTAATTTTGCACTATTAATTATGATCATATGGATTTTTTTTATACATATGTTTTTTCAATGAATTTTTTAAATGATAATATTGACAATATAGACTTTGCTATAATAATTATATAGACTGTGTTATAATAATAATTTATTTATTTAATTCATTAATTTTTTTTTTCAATTCATCTTATTATGCGTATAGTCTAAGTTTATAAATTATATGTCATTTAAATGTATCTATACTAATAATTTATAAGGTTTTACCATTTTGAGAGCTAAATTTTTAATTTTAATTATGAAACTAATTTTTCTTATCATTTTGTAGTTATATGTTTGATTGAGTATGGCTGAAAATTAAATTACAAAAAAAATAATTTTATTTTTTATATTGTAATGTAACATGATATGTATTATAATGTTTGTAATTAATACATTTGTTAATATTTCTTATAACTTTAATTGCTTATTCAATTCATAATGAAATAAAAAATAATAATATATAATTTCTGCACAAAAATAATGACTATCATGTTTATATATATAAATGAGAATAAGAAACATAAATGTGGGATTAAGTAAAAGAAACTTAATTTTTTAATTTAGTCATTAACTAATTAAGTTTAACTAAAAGAAACCTTCTTAAATGTGAGATTAATGAGCAATTAATTAAAAAAATGTAACTTCTTTTGGAGGGAAAATGAAAATATTTTTATTAAATGTTTTATTAAATGGGGTTAGCTAGCAATTATATATATATATAGATTAGTTGCACAAATTTAGTCTTAACTAAAATTTCAAGTTACTGCTATATTTTTTTAAAATTGATTTCAAAATAAACTCATTAATATGGTTAAATATTGATGAATGTTGATTTTTAAAAAGCATATCAACATTAAAATATAACTAGATAACCATTCCAAGAAATTGACAAATAAGAACAAAAATCTATGGAGCTCCGCACCGAACAAAACTAGTCGGTTACGATAGTTCCGAATACTTAACCGAATTAAAAAGAAAAATCTCCGAATTGAACGGTTTTGATTTCTGGTACAGTTCTAAAGATTAAGCTTTAATGATCTCGGTATATTTTGAATATTTTTCAATTTTTCAATCGTGCATGCTTATACTCCCTAACAACTTTACCTTTTTCGAATAACAATAACTCCACTCTAGGGTGTTTTTGCAATTATTGATAAGCTAGGATATTAAGGGTAAAGACAATTCATCGCATCTGCTCATTTGGCAAGTCTGAAAGAAGCCTAGTGATTGTTTTTTGGTCTTGGAAAAAATTCTCATGAATGAGAGATATTCTTTCAGAGCTCGTAGAGTATTATTTATTCTCCCTACTTATTATTTCAATTGAAATGACCATCTTGCCCTTAAAATGATCCATGTGTGCTTTTTCTAAAGGGCAATTTAGGAAATTGAATTTTTTCTTTAGATTTTTTCACGCCAAACAAAAATAAAAGGAAATGAAAATGATTTACGTATGATTTCATAATTACGTCCAAAACGACCCACTTATTTATTTACCATAGGAAATTATATGATATCATAATCCATAAGGAATATATGATTGGAATTCCAGAGATTATAATCCCATCATAGCCCTAAATAGATCCAATCAGAGGAAAAGTAGTTGAACCCATCCGGTCCGACTGGTTCAAACGAGAACAGGCCTATATACCGGTCTGGTTTGAGATATGGAACCGCTGGGCTGGTTTGAGATATGGAACCGTTGGGCTACAAAACCGGTCAAAAATCGCTTGAACTGATCAAAATCCAGTAAAACAGTGAAACCAGCCGGGGGTTGTGCGGCCCAGTGGTTCATCTGTAGGCTTTGATATTCAGTGGCTGTGTAGCCATGTAAATAGCTGAGCTTCCTTGTTGATTTATCCGATGTGAGATGCTCTCCAATAAAGCATTGCTGAAATTATTGGGCCGTAGTGGGCCTTACATACAAAAGTAAGTAGTTGTAATTTAGTTCAATTTTTTATTGGCCAAAAAGGTATAAAACCCAAGGTAAGAAATATCATTATTTCTCGTGCTCAAAAACCATTTCTGTTGGGTGAAATGGTATAAACAAAGCATAAGGTAAACCAAAGAGATTATTCAATTATTTCTCATAAAATGAGAAAAATAAAACAATGCATATTGGTTATAACTTATAACTTATAAGCCTACACTTGGAATCATACATAGTAGCTAAAATATAAGAATAATTATAGTATGCACGATTTTATAGTTTTTTCCTTTATTTATTTAAAAAAAATAACATTATACACTATAAAATTAATAATAAAAATACATACAGTTATATCTTACACATATAAAATAAATAAAATTATTTATTAACTATACCGGTTCGACCGATTCGACCACTGGTCCGACCAGTTAAACCGTTAGCTTTACCGGTTCAGTTTTCAGAACATTGGTTGAACTCAATCATGGGCTCCGGACTGTTAGGCTTGGACCTAAAGCCCATATGAAATCTCCAAATTACTTTGTAACTAGTTTTTTACCCGTGCATTTGTATGAAAAACTATATGATAGAGAAAAAAAAATAATTGTAAAAATTATAATATAATCATTAAAAAAAATTTAAGAAAGAAATCTAAATATTATTAAACACTTATTTATATAGAATGTTCTTGGTTTTTCTATCGTCACAACTATAAATCGTTATCTTCAAACTCATCCGATTTGTAACTCTAGAAAACGTCATGTACAATTGCCCATGACTAAATATTAGGGCTCTTAAAATATATATATACATATATATATATATAGGGCTCTTAAGTAGTTCAATCGACTTTTCAGTTCAGCCTTTCATCATCTTCAATCGACTTCATTTCAGAGAAGGAGAAAAAGGGCTTCAGTTCCGAATTTCGGTTTGATACGGTCATGAGAATGGGGTTCATAAAGGACCGGTCGTAGGCCGCACTTTGTATCAGCTAGGCGTAGTCTAATCAGCTGGGCGTGGCTCAACTGGCCAGGCGGAGTGCCTAAGGTAATCGCCTAGGTACCTCGTCACCTAGGCAGCTCGACAGGAGGATTCCGTTGAGGGGACTAGGACCTGGGGGTAGCGTCGTGTTTACCAAGTTACGAGGAGGTTCACAGCAACTAGGATTCTTATGATCTAAGAAGATCTAACCAAATCTAAGGTTAGATGTCAGGAAGACTTCTAGAACAACCAGGACTCTTCATGGCTTCACCTATAAAAAGGAGTAGGTTCATTCATTCTACACAACACACACATATTATCTTGTTGCTCTGCCGTTTTCTCTCCGAAACACCACCACTGACTTGAGCGTCGGAGTGTCCACACCGGGACCACCCCCGGCGTGTTTTGCAGGTACCGGCGATCGAGAAGGTTCAATTCGGTTCGAGAGGAGCGGTCGAGCGGTTCAGGTATTTGTGGTATAACACGGTTGATAAGAAAATCCTGATTTTTGGGAGTAAGCAGAAGAAAACGAAAAATGGGGTCGCAGGTGCATCTGGAGAAGATGCAGCAACGCCAGAACTATCGGAACCTCTGGCACACTGATCTTATGAGCACCATTCAACAAGATCCTCCTTGTAAGTGAATCTCTGTCATTACTTATTTCTATTTAGCTCTGTTCTTAATTTTCGTGGTTCATTCATTTTTTTTTTCCTTTTGTTGTCTTTGTCCAGATTGTTGCTAGTCCCTGTGGTGGTAAGTGATGGACTTTCCAGGTTTCGCTTGTATGATGTTGTTCTTTTTTGCTTTCTTGATTATTTGTTATTTGTGTGCAAATTATGATACGTTGCTTAATTTCTTAACAAGGTGGATTCAATTAAGACTTTTTAAGACTTTCATGTATTCAATTGGAACTTTTTGAGACTTCTACAATATATGCATGTATTCAACTGAGACTTTTAAAAACCTTTTATAAATCTCTAAAAGTCTTAGTGTATTCAATTGAAATTTTCTATGAGTATCAATAAATCATCCCGTATTCAAAGTACAAAGACTTTATATGACTTTTTAAATTAGAAGACTTTTAGATATTTTTTAATAAGATTACAAAGATAAAGTAATCTCATCAAAATTGTGAGATTTTGCTATGGAAGTCTCAGAATGTCCACCAAAGTTATTAAAAGATTTCACAAAATCCACCAAGACTCACTTTAAAAAGTCTTAAAATGTTTTTTTTTATTTTTTTTTTCTCCAATTTTTACAGGGTTTTTTTGAACTGATTAATGCCTGAAATGCGAAAGTAGTGTCCACATAGCCAAATTGATTTTTCTTGGAGCTTATGGTAATGGGGTTGCGTTGGGTTTGACTCTTCAGTAATTAATTTCAGCTTCGACTATATATTGTGAGTTTTGATTTGAGAACCTTGATGAATTTAAATATCACCTCGAGGCATTTAATCACTCAATCTTGTTGAAAACTTAAGCATTCACATAAACTTCTGTCCACAGGGATTGTTTTTGACTTGGGTATTTATTAATTTCATCATTTCTTTTGAATTTTCTTGCTACAAAAGTTACCCCTGCATGGTCTTGTCGAGAATCAATATACTATTACCTCTACTTTACTTGCTAGGCAGTCATTAGATTATACATTTTTTTAGCATTTAACATGAATCTGAGAATATCATTGAACAAGTTTTATCCATGTAGCTCTTTTGCAAGGATATGCCGAGCAAAGTTTGTGTGGTTTCTTATAGATTACCATTACCCTTCAGATATTGATGCACTAAGTGTCAATTACCTGGACCTCATGTAAAATCAGCCCTACCAACACCATGTTATTTAGTGTCATATGGATCATATGAAGCTTTGCTGAATATATGTTATGAATACGAGAAGATTCAAAATATTGATATGTATAACCTGATATATCGGTGTTTAATCAGTCCCTTGGTCAAATGAGTTATTGAGCCGAGGAGATACTTGATCTATTGTTATTCGTTGTTGTCAACCTCATAGAAGCACATTTACAATTTCGAGACTCAACAGTTGCTTTTGTTCCAGTGATCTTCATTTTACATGTAAGACTGCTATTAAATCTTCGAGTGTAATCAAGTGGGGTCAAACCATAAGAAATATGTATATGGCATGGCACTAGCAGCTTTGATAATTTATTCATTCAACCTGTT